CACTTGTGAATTTGATTTTATACCAGAAGAAGGATCTAGAATCACTCTAATTTAGATTAATTTTCAAAATTAATTAAATTTCCCTCCCACTTTCCATTCCTAATCCCATTCCAATTTTCATAACCTCACTCCAAACCACATTCTACTCCAAACCTAGAGCATATATTTAAGTGAATTTGCTCCAAACCAAAAAAACGAATCCTCACAATTACAATTCATTTTCAGATTTCACTCTCACTCTTGGAATTTTCTCTCCACTTTTTTTTCTCCAAAACCTCCATTAGAGCTCTCACTTGAATTCTTTGATTCTTCATTGGAATCATAGAATTCTAGAGCTAAACCTTCATCATTCATCTCCATTATTTTCAATTCACCATTCAATTTTCGTTTGGATTTGGATCTGAATTTGGAAGCTAATTTGGAAATGCTTATTTGGATCGTTTTTGCTTGATCTTGCTTGATCTTCATTTCTACAACAAGAAAGCTCTTGGATCTTGAAGAATCTTTGGGTTTCTTGCTTGGATCTACTCATTTCAAGTGAATCAACACTCACCAAAGCAAATCTCCGCTTTGTAGGTTGGCAATTCTAGATCTAATTCTATTTTGAGCTTATTTGGATAATCACAATGTAGATCTATGGCTTTCGATGCTTTTTGATCCATTTTGTTGATTTCGATCTTTGATCTTTGTGATCTCAATGCTTGATGAAGTTTAATTGATGTTTGATCACTGATTTTTGGTGTTAAAATCGTGCATAATTGATTACATGATCATTTGGATGATTGCACTTTGAATTAATTGCTGAAAGTGCTTTTGAATTGCTATTTTTCTGCTTCTGCTACAATGTTAACGGGTTAACTAGTGCAATTTCTGAAATTTTCAAGTGGTTAACCGGTTAACCAAAAGCGTTAACCGGTTAACACTGAACCAGAATGTCATTTTTGGTTGTTTTCAAGCATGTTTGGATTTCTTTCCATATGTAACCTTCATGAATTGATGTGACGCATTTATGTGGATTATTTTGACATTTTTCCTCATTCTTGGATGTATACCTTGTGCCACAAGCGCTCTTTGAATCATGTCTTTCCACTTGTTCAAAGTGTGAGATAATTGTTTGAACCTTGGTTCCTCAATGTGACATGATAATTCTTGTGCTTGCTCGTTGTTTTGACTCTTATTTGGATCATTCCGTTTGTGATTCATTTCTGCCCCATGTGATTTGACACTTGTTCATGATGACTTGGTGCTTATGTTTGCACTTTGAGTTTGTCATAAACATTGGTGATTGTTTTGCATTGATCATTTGCATTGCTTTGCTTGATCTTTAAGAATTGTATGGTTGAGATGTGCTTGTGGTGGTTGCTGCCCCACACTTTTTCCTCCCTCTTTTCTTTGTGTGTGCATCTTAGGATATCACCTTTTTTTCTTGATGATTGATGGTAATGGTTGTAGGAGCTTGCTTCTCCCATTTCATCTCATCTCTTGTTAACTTGTTTAAGTCACTTGCTTGTGTTTGAGTCTCTTGTTTTTTAGTCTTGTTGCATTCTTGCATTTGTGTTTGCATTTCATGTTTGCATCTCTTATTGCATTGACTTGTTTAAGTCACTTTCATCTCTCATTTTCTCTTCATATGTGATTGAATTGCTAAGTGTTTACTTGGTCTTTTGCCATGATCCCTTAGGATTCCAAGTCCCTCTGTTTAAGATGGGAGTAGGAGAGACATTAGGTGTTCAATCCTTTGCATGATAACATTATGATAGATTTCCCCTTTCAATCCCAACTTTATGAGCATTTTGCATGATAACATTAGGGTTGATTAGTTTCCCTTTAGAGTTTGTGTCTTCTCTTCTCATCTCATAACATCTTAAGACACTTAATAAAGGATAATAAATGTTGTACGCTACGAGCCTTAAATACTTGAGGAATGATGGTTGATGGGCCTCCTCTCATACTGTCTAGAGTGTTTAGCGCATGCCCTTTGAGCGATATGCGACGCATTCGCTCTTAAGTCATAGTCTTTAGTGCAACATGAGTTACAAACTTAACTCAATTAACTTCTTGTTTAAAAAACACAAAACAAAACATCAAACCTTTTTATCCTTCAGGATTGTTTGAAAATCATTTTCAGAAAGAGTGCGTTAAGTCTTGGTTCTACCGCAAACAAGCATCGTCTCTGCTAGAACAAAGGTTTAACCCCACTCAGTTAAAACACTTGAACCAATCTGTGGTCGTGTCAGCCCAAACTACGTTTGCTCTGATTTCTAGTACCAAACGAGGATACGTAGGCACAAGATGGTGATGTCTTGGTGAGCAACCTTCCCCCCTTCACCCGTGGTTTTCCCGAACTATGTTTGCTCTGATGTCTCATACCAGACGAGAATACGTAGGAACAAGACGGCGATGTCTTGGCGAGCAACCTTCCCCCACCTTCACCCATAGTTTTCCGAACTACGTTGACTCTGACTTTCCCATTGCACGAGGGAATACGCAGGCATAGAGCGGCGATGCTCTATCGAGTATCTTTTCTTTTCTTTTGTCCTTGTGAGCCAACCTTTTGATAGATTAACACCCTTTTAGATAGACAACAAGCGTGGATCCCGTTGAGTACAACGAACGCGAGGGGTGCTCATACCTTCCCCTTGCGTAACCGACTCCCAAACCCAAGATTTGGTTGCGATGACCTGTCTTTTCCCTTTTTCGTAGGCTTTCTCTAATCGTTTCCTTTCCCTCTCTTTGGGATAAATAACAAATGGTGGCGACTCTTCTGTCTTTGCCGGCCCTTTTTTCGCAGAAGCGACACATACTTCTGACAATTGAAACACTAAATGTGACTTTTGTCAAGTTTCTGACCACCACATCATCCTCTATCTGCAACACCACTTCTTTGATTGCTTTGGTATGATGACTTTCTCTGATTCGACCAGCCTCCTTCTTGTTGACTTCGACCAGTCAAATTGTTTTTGCCTCATCTACCTTTGTTGTTGAACCACTTTCCTTTGTCTTTCTTTTCTCTTGCTGATTGCGCCTACAAAGCCACATCACTCTTCGACTTGCTTGTATCTCTTTCAGCCATTCTTTGTATATGAGATTCAAGCGTCCCTTGAAGCTCCTCCTTTGTCAATGTTGACAAATCTTTCAACTCTTCTATGACTACTACTATGTGATAAAACTTTGGATCCAATGACCTCAAGATCTTTGCAACAACTGATCTTGATGTCAACACTTCTCCACATACCTTGATTTGACTCACCACTTTCGTAACCCTAGTGAAAAAACCAGTTATGCTTTCATTGTCTTCCATCTGAAGCAATTCATACGTTCTTTTGTGAGTTTGTAACCTCATTTCTTTCACCTTCTCCGCGCCTCCAAACGATTTCTCCAAGATCTCCCATGCTTTTTGGACGATTCTACATCATTGACCTTCTCGAAATTATATGGATCCACACATTAATGAATTATAAAGAGAGCTTTATAATATTTCTTCTTCAATTCTTTGTGTGCAACTTTTTCTTCATCTGTTGCATTTTCTATGAGCGGTGTTACTCCATCCTTCACAAGATCCAAAAGATCTTGACAACATAAAACAACCTTCATCTATTTATACCAATTCTCATAATTCTGACCCTTCAAAATTGGAAGACTCACCGGAAAATGTCCATTTGGATGATTCATCGCCATCGCATTTTGCTTCCAACGAATCACTCAGCCAATGCTTTAGATACCAGATGTTGGAAATTTGTCAATTCTCGTTCAAGAATTTTACCAAAACTTGATGAATTCCAAACCAAATCTTGACGAATAAGAATCAGTCTTTCTGATTGATTACTCCTCTTCTTCCCTCTTCACTCGAGTGAATCAACTAATAATTGTTGCAAGATAATTCTCACGATACAATTGTTGATGGAAGAAGAAAGTAAACATGAAATTAGAGAAGAAAAAAAATCAGGGTTTAAGCAAAATAGGAGAAAAAAAGATTTTCTGCAGAGCTTCTATCTGCTTCCAAACTAGAATTTTATTCTTTGCAATTGCAAGTTATTATACAATGATAGAGGTTATTCTCTGTTTATAGATTTGAGTTTGCTTGCTCATAAAACAAAGCCCAAAATACTTAATTCTGCTAACACTACAAAATTAGACCAAAGTCGAAATTCCTGTCGAGGTACATTACTTCGACGTTTCGACACTTACACAATTTCGACACTTCTTTACTTTTGTCGAGCAACATACTTCAACACAAAGACTTACAATTCAACAAGTTTTACAAGATTAGTTTTACCAAAAACAATTTTACATAGTCTAAACCAACAAAGTTTTTATATGACAATGTTAGTTTTTAAAAAAAAAACCAATTTTACAATGTCTAAAACAACAAAACCTTCGTAAGATAAAATTAGTTTTACAGCAAAAGAAATTTACAGGAGTAAATAGAATTAACATATATATATATATATATATATATATATATATATATATATATATATATATATATATATATATATATATATATATATATATATATATATATATATATATATATATATATATATATATATATATATATATATATATATATATATATATATATATATATATATATATATGAAAGATGTGTAAAATGGTATTAACCTTAAGATAATTGTGTTTAGTTCAAAATAAACTTTGTTTAATTAACAATTTAAACTAATTCATAGAAGGGTGATTAAATAGATATATTAGATAAAAAATGTAAAAAAAAAATCATTAAACCAATTTACTTATTTGTCATGAGTTGTCCTCAAATTGAAGCTTATACGTTTCCCAATTCCCAAATCCCAAATATTTCTTACCAATAAGAGAGAGATTTCTTTCGCTTTGCTTCCAGGGATTCTCTTATCTCTCTTCTCGCCCTTTTGGTAAGCAATCCCTTTCATTCTCACGTTTCTCTCCCTTTCCTCTTCAATTTCACTTCCTTCCGTTGCATCGTCGATCGCTAACCCTAATTCCGTTGCAGAATAATCATCATGGCTAAGAGTTCATTCAAGATGGAACATCCCCTTGGTTCGTTTCTCCCCCTTTTCTCTTTCTTTTGATTATTCTTTTCGCCAATTTTCCTTTTATTTTATCGGTTACTCTGTGTATATGATTTATAGGTTCCAATTTTCGGTTAAACGGGGTTGAATTTCATGTGATTAGAGAAATATTAGATATCTAATTTGTTTAATTTTATAGTTTTGAATGTTAAAAATTGGGTCTTTTTCATCATGATCGTTATCTGAAACCCTATTCCTTAGAGGTTGAAATTTGGCTCAAAAACATGTAATTTCCTTACAGTTCTGTTTGTTAGTTGATCTGAATTAATTCTTCTTGTCGATGGGTGTTTGTTGATGCTGTCTGAATTGTAGCATCATTTTTGACCTTGCAAGGTTTATGATTTGTTAGTTAAAGTTTGTATCGATTACTATTGCGATACCAATTTATGTTGTCTGATTTCTACTATAAATTTTATGTGCTAGAGAGGAGGCAGGCTGAAGCAGCTCGCATAAGAGAAAAGTATCCTGATAGAATTCCAGTAAGATCTTTTTTTATACCTTGATTTGTAGTTATGTTATGGCGATCCCGATTTTCTAGTAATTGATTGATTTTTTGGATGTAGGTAATTGTTGAAAGGGCTGAGAAGAGTGATGTTCCAGATATTGATAAGAAAAAGTTAGTTTTTCTTTCCTCCCTATTTGTTGTGAAGAGGAAGCGTGAATGTTTGCATTGTTTACGAACTCTAATTTTTGTTTTCAAGTTGTTGCTTGTTTCAGTAATTACTTTCTGCATTAACTTTGTTATGGTTCACCTCTTTGATGTTTTGATGTCACATAGGTTGTTCGTTGGAGTTTGAAAATATTTACTCTTTTACTTAGACTAGAGCCATAGTGGCCATACCGTTGTTGCGGTTGCGCTGGAATGTGTTTTATTGAATGCTGAGTTTAATTGATTTCAATATATGTTTGTGGTATCGGACTTGATTGTTCCTAACCTTGCAAACATTGTTGTTTTTTTTTTCTTCTTCATTTAGTGGAATGGTTGAATTAAGGATGATTTAAGTTAGACCTAAATGTTGATTAATTTCTAGTACAGAAAACGGAGCCAGAAAGCCTTGGGTTCTGATCTCTGCTTTGTTGTTCTAATGATTATGAAAAGCCGATCACTAAATTAGTTGGTGAATTAAAAAAGGATACTGCTAAGCCCAATTATGGTTTCATTGATGTGAAATCCCACTAATACATTTGAATCAACCACAAAAAGAGGGATTTTAGTTTAGGTCTTGGTCATAATAGTTGAGTGTAAAAGTCGAATCTTGAAATCGTGTGTCAAAAACATGGATTAAAATTACTCTGCACTCTTTATTATGTTTGAACTCACGTTTCACATGCTTATGTTTTCTTTGCTTTTTTTATGATTGTAGGTATCTGGTTCCCGCTGATCTAACTGTAGGCCAGTTTGTGTATGTGGTGCGAAAAAGAATCAAACTGAGTCCTGAGAAGGCCATCTTCATTTTTGTGAAGAACATTTTACCACCAACAGGTAATATATATGAATTGTCGCTGTCGATACTTGATGGTAATTTTTTGTTTTGTTTTGAATAAGTTTATACTTGGTGGTAGTTAATTTTGTGAGTTGATTTTTCATCTATCTTGATACAGCTGCTATGATGTCTGCAATCTATGAGGAAAACAAGGATGAAGATGGATTCCTTTATATGACTTACAGCGGAGAGAACACTTTTGGGATGTAAATGTGAAATATTCACAAGGGGCAACCATGTAAATAGAACATAAAAAGCCATCCTATTGTGAAATAGTCAAGCTTCTGAGCTATCTGATCTTGGCAATCCTTATCTAATCTGCAACTAGTTGAAAATGACTTTTATGTTGCTATATTCATTTCAAATCAATGAAGTTAATTATTTTTTCTTTATTAGATGTCTCGTGTCTCATGCCAAAATCTGGGAAGTAATTTATATTTATACGATTTTTTAGTCTAATGATTGAGAGGTGCTTCTTTTGGTGGTTGAGAATTATTATACTTATATTAGAAAGTAACTATGACACATTAGATTAGTTCAAGGGAAGCAAATCAAATTGTCATACGAGTTCTCATATTTTAAGCAACCTATCCTTCATGACTTTGTATCACAAGCTTTTTCCAAGCAACTTCACCATTATAGCATCCTTTCACATGCCTCGAAAATGATTTTCATCAAAGATGCACTCTTGGTAGTAACCAATTTCTCTCTTCATGATCAATGTAAACAAATTTTTGAGCTATAAGATCAACTTTTTCTCTTGTAATAGCCACAATTTCACTTACACCAATGAAAACATCTCAAAATGATACACATTTGAGTGCTAACTACGTATATCCATTTTGCGTCCAGCGTCTAGACATAGTAGGTTTATATGTGATTTATTATTCAATTCTCATAGTTAATTAATTTAATAAATATATATGAATTCTAACACGAGGAAGAGAAATAATAGTGAGATACATCAACTAACAATTATTTAATTCTTTATTGAATCATTATATAAGATGTTGAAATAGACATGCTGGTTAGGACGCGTTGATCTTAACCATAAGATTGGAGGTTCCTTCCAATGATTTTTTTATTTTTTATTTCATCAATTTTTTTTGGTTGAGATCTGTTATTAACACATTTAACTAATATATTATAAACGTTGTCCTCACTAGTTAGAATCAAATACTACACATTACATAGAAACTGTAACTATCTATTTGCTCATAGAACCAGAAAGTGAAAGCTAAGAACCATGGCAGATTTGGTAGAAAGCAAAGAATGGTATTTAACTGCATATTGCCCTGAAGGTGTTCCAACCTCAGATCATCTCAAACTCCGCACTGTCTCTCTTTCTCTTGACTCTGATTCAATCCCTGATAATCATCTAGTAGTTGAAACTCTTCTTCTCTCCGTCGACCCTTATCTTCGTGGAAGAATCACTGGCTCCTTAGAAGGGCTTTTCATTTCACAATATCAACTTAACCAGGTAATTTTAATTTAAATTTATGTATATAATATGCATATTAATTGTTGTTTAACAAATATATATTTATAGGCGATTACAACATTTGCAGTTGCAAGGGTGATTAGATCAAAGGACAGTAGATACAGTGAGGGAGATATTCTTCTATGTCCATCTTCTCCTGTCGCTGAGTATGCTATTGTGCCATCTTCTCAAATAGCTAGAAAAATTGATACTGAAAATGGAATTTCTTTGTCTGATTATCTTGGCGCTTTAGGTTTGTTTTCTGTTTTATGATTTTTTTTGTCAATGTTTAAGAAAGGAAAAAGAAAGTTATTATTGTGGCTATTTGATTGATTGCAGGAGTATCAGGTTTTGCAGCATGGGTTGGAATAGAGGTGCTTGGAGATCCAAAGGCAGGATCAAATGTGTTCATATCTGCAGCTTCAGGTGCTGTTGGTATGAATGCTGGACAGCTTGCTAAGATTAGAGGATGTAGGGTCATTGGAAGCACTGGGTCTGATGATAAGGTAACCTAGTTTTTTATTCCACTTTCTTTAAAATTATGTGATGTATTTCTGGCAGTAGGACCTCCTGTGTCACTACGTTTTGTTTCAAAGTTACCTTTTGGAAAGTGATGTTTTATACCTTTTGCTTCAAGCTTATCTTTTATTGAGTTTAAGATTTCTATCTTCGAAGGTTTGGTCATATTATCAGCAACTTGTTCTTCTAGCACCTTGTTGTTAGGTACAGTGAACCAAAGTTCTTACTCCATTTTTGGTTAGAACTCTAAAAAAATGGAATTCATATTGTAGTTTATGAGTGATAAGTTAGTGTTGTAGCAAACTCTGTCGAATTCGAAGAGCTAGTGTAGCTGTCGAAATATGTTAGGTTGTTAGTATGGCGAATTGAGACAAATTCTTAGTCCAGTTGTTTAATATGTATGTCGAAAGTTAGACTTTAGTTTTTTCTTCAATTTTGTAGGTTTTATTATTTCTCAATAGTATCATAAGGCTAATGTAGGTTTTATGTGATGTTAGGTTTTATTATTTCAAATGAGAGAAAGGTATCATAAGGCTAATGAAGGGGTCCAAGAAAGTCTTGAGAGACACCAAAAGGCAAGACTTATATACCCTTGAGGCTGAGGTCGTACGTCGTTCAATAGATGTAGCGTCCATAAAACCTGCGTCGAAGACTGAGTTATGACACATGAGATTTAGCCATGTTAGTGAAAGGGGCTTGGTCGAATTTGGAAAGAAAAATCTGCTGGGAGGTGATAAGGTTGAAAACTGAAGTTTTGTAAACCTTGTGTATTTGGAAAATCTTGCAAAGTGAAGTTTAACAAAGGCAAACAAAGAACACATGAATCACTTAATTACATTCATGCTGATCTCTGGGGGTCTGCAAAGAATCCCTCACACTCAAGTGTAAGATATTTTCTATCCATATTTAATAATCACTCATGAAAGTTACGGGTATTCATTCAGAAATCTAAGGATGAAACATTTGAAAATTTCAAAAGTTGGAAGACTTTGGTCAAAAATTGACAAGAAAGTCAAGAGGTTGAGGACTGACAATGGTCTTGAATTTTTCAACAACTATTTTGTCGTGCTTGGTATTGCAAGGCACGAGTGAGGTTCATGTTGGTTAGTGTGGGGTTAAAGAAGGTTTTTTGGGCTGTGGCAGTCATGAATGCAACTTACTTAATAAATAGGTGGTCTCTCGACTACCTTAGGGATGAAAACACCTGAAGAAGTTTAGTTAGGCCATCTACCAGACCTCAACAAACTTAAAAGTATTTTCCGGTGTAGAAAATGCTCACATTAGGCAAGACAAGGTCGAACCTAGAGCTCTGAAATGTATATTCCTTGGATATCCTGAAGGAGTAAAAACTTATAGGCTGTGGTGCTTAGAGTCAGGTCATGGGAGGTGTATCACAAGTTAAGATGTAGTTTTCAATGAGGCTGAAATGACTTTCAAGAAAATTGATGACGCTAGTCGAAGCGCAAAGATCTATGAAGAAAAGCTTGAACAAGAAGAGATTCATATTGAGGTGGAGCATATTGAAGCTGAAATGCAAATCCTAGATGAAATCGGAGAAGAAGCACAATGTGCTGAAATGACTGAAGAGGCTAATAATGAGTATCTGTTAGCTAGAGATAGAACCAGGAGAATCGTCAAACCACCTTAGAGACTTGGTTATGCATATTTCATAGTGTTTGCTTTAATATCTTCTAGTGATGTACTTGATGAAGAACCTGAAGATTACAAGGAAGTTATGAGGAGTCGAAACGAGATTGAATGACTGAAAGTCATGGATGATGAGATGAAATCTCTTCATGATAACCATACTTGGGAGTTGGTTGAGAAACCTGGAGGAGGCAGGTTAGTCAGCTGTAAGTGGATTTTCAAGGTTAAGGATGGAAACAAAAGAGTAATGTCAAAGAGATTTAAGGCAAGGTTGATTGCTAGGGGGTTCACTCAGAAAGCAGGAGTCAACTTCAATGATGCGTTCTCACATGTTGTAAAGCATAGATCCATTAGAATGTCATTGGCCCTGGTGGAAAAGTTTGACTTAGAACTTGAACAAATGGATGTGAATGCCGCCTTCATATATGGTGATCTAGATGAAACAATCTTGATGAAGCAACCTGAAGGGTATGCAGAAACAGGAAAGGAGGATTATGTGTGCAAGATGAATAAGTTATTGTATGGCCTGGAACAATAACCCCAATAATGGAATAAGAGATTCGATAAGTTCATGACACTTAGGTTTCACTAGAATCTAGTTCGACCACTCAGTTTACTTCAGATTTCAACTTGGAAATTCACTTGTTATTTTGTTGCTTCATATGGATGACATCCTCATAACAAGCAAAAATGTCGAGGATGTAGTAAAAGTGAAGGTTGAACTTGATAATGAGTTCTACATGAAGGATCTAGGAGCTGCCTCATGGATTCTTTGTAATTGACAATTGGAGAGATAGAAAACAATCAAGATGATGCTTGTATCAAGAGACATACTTACGAAATATTCTTGACAAGTTTGGTATGTCAAATTCAAAACCTATTGTGACTCCGACAAATTCTCAATTCAAGCTAAGTATAGCTCAATGTTCAAGTAATTAGGTCAAAAGAGCATATATGAATAACATACCATATGATGACATAATACGTTCTTTGATGTATGATATGGTTTGTACTAGGTCAGACATAACATATGCAGTGAGCCTTGTAAGCAAGTATATGGTCAATCCTAGAAAGACACATTGACAAGCATTGGAGTGGATTCTAAGGTTCATAAATGAGTCTCGAAGTAGAGTCCTGATTTATGGTGGAGCCCGTGGTGATCATAGCAAAGTAAAAATCAAAAGATTTGTCGACTCTGATTATGCAGGTTTATGCATTCCAGAAAATCTATTTCTGGATATGTGTTTACCATGTTTGATACAACAATAAGTTGGAAAGAAACACTTCAAAAGGTTGTTTCCTTATCAACCAGTTAAGCGAAATATATTTCCCTCAGTGAAGCTGTGAAAGAAGAATTGTGGCTTGAAGGTTTTGCTAAGGAGTTGAAACTTCAAGGTCAAGCAATCACTGTTAAATGTGACACTCAAAGTGCAATATACCTCTCGAAGAATTCAACCTATCATGAGTGTGTAGCACCCCAAAATTTACCCTTTCATTTTAACCGTAACTGGCTTACGTTTCTTTGCATTTTGCATTTCTGCATATCACAACATTGGTTCTTGAGGCATGAGATCAAGATGTTTTTATGGCTCAGGGTTCCCTTTTATTGCAAGAGTTTAAATAGCGAGCGTCAGAGGCTCCGACATTTATTTTACCCAGCGATCGAGCGGTCGCTTTTATTTTATTCAACATGTTATTTTCAGCTCAAGAGACAGTGTGCAAGCTATCTCAGGCATTCTCACAATTATAATATCCAAGGGCAAATTTCAGAGGCTTAACTGAGCTCAGAACAGGTGGCAACAGGTGATTATACAATATTCCTTCCATTTGGCGCCAAAATTGGCATTTTTTGAATGTGGTAACCGGTTACCACATATGGGTAATCGATTACCTCAAGCTCATTTTTCCAAAATATTCAAATTTTTAGCATTGCGAATTTCCAATCATTCTCAACCATTGATTTCACATGATCATCATTGGAAGGATGGAGAATTGTTTCAATTTTCACCATTTTCCTCCAAATTTCAAACACTCCATTCCTAATCCCACTCCTAATTTCCAATCCAAATACTAATCCACATTCCAAACCACATTTTGATTCCAAACCTAGAGCTTATTTAAGTGAATTTGCTCCAAACCTCACATAGTTACCTTCATTTTTCAGATTTCACATTCATTCTTGAGAATTTGCTCTAAACTTTCTCTCAACTTTTTCACTCCTAAAACCTCCATTAAAGCTCTTTCGACTTGAGTTCTTTGATTCTTCATTGGAATTCTTGAATTCTAGAGCTAAACCTCCATCATTCATCTCCATTATCTTCAATTTACCATTCAATTTTCGTTTGAATTTGGATCTGAATTTGGAAGCTAGATTGGAAGTGTTTTTTGGATCATTTTTGCTTGATTTTTCTTGTTCTTCATTTCTACCATAAGGAAGCTCTTGGATCTTGAAGAATCTCTGAGTTTCTAGCTTGTATCTGTTAGTTTCAAGTCAATCAACACTTATCAAAGCAATCTCAACTTTGAAGGCTGGTTATTCTAGATCTAATCCAATTTTGAACTTATTTGAATAATCACAATGTATATTCATGGCTTTTGATGCATTTTGATCCATTTGGATGATTTAGATCTTTGTGATTTGTGATTTCAATGTTTGATTGTGTTTATATGATGCTTGATCACTGACTCTTGATGTTAGTTTCATGCTTAATTGATAACATGTTCATGTGATTGATTAGATAAGTTGTTTGGTGCTGAAAACTGATTTTAGAGGCTGTTATTTTGTTTTTGGTTCAGTGGTAACCGGATACCACATATGGGTAACCGATTACCCTTCTAAATTTTCACGTTTTCAAACTTTTTTTACAACAGGTAGCCGGTTACCTGATTACAGTAACTGATTACCACTGAACATAATGCTTTGTTTTTGCATTTTTCTTGCTTGTTTGGTGTTCTTTCCATCTCAAAACTTCATGATTTGATATGATGCATTTATGTGGATTATTTTTGACATATTTCATTATTTTTGAATGTTTGATCTCGATTCTTCGACACGTAGCGTCCGATTTTCGTTTGAGTGCTTAACATGTTCATGATGCTTAATTGATGCAATGATCACATGCTTTGCTTGCTTATATCATGTTAATTGATTATCATTGATGATTATCTTGTTGGATTTGTGATGCATGTTTGCGTTTGCTTTCGACTCCGTTTGTTGTATGTTCGTTTGATCGTCCGATCATTTGATTTGAATTAAAAAACATGATGGTCTTATTGATTCTTAATGATGAAATATTGTTGATCAATTATGTTTGATTTTCGAAGCATGTCCATACTTGCATGATATTTA